AACCGATGTATTTTAGAAACTCCAGCTTCCCCGCATGCCTTAATTAGTTCAGTAGAAATATTATCGATTCCCGCTGCTTTATATGATTTTAATTTACCGATAGCTACTTCAACTTCCTCTTTACTTGGTCCTTCTATTAACGGTTCAGCACTCTGGTACTCAGAAGGAGGACACCGATCATAATTTCCCGTATTTAAAATGTTGTCAAAGTGCTCCTTAAACTTATTCAATATGTCAACCGGATCGGTCAGAATATTGTTATTATCATCCCTAATTCCAGACGTTACGGGCCCTACATATTTACGTGATCTGTTTATACCTTTGTACATGTCTCTTACGTTATTTTCGATTCTATTAGTTTCTATTTCAATTATTTTATTTTTAAGATACTCCCTTTTTTTATTTTTGAGCAATTTTGTCGTTTCGTTCTTTGAGATTCGGAAGTATTCCAGATTGTCTTCGCTAGGATTATTTAGAGCTTTTAATTTAGCGGCTTTCCTTTTTTCGCACATGTTTAAGCAATCTTCATCAAACCACGGTTTGTTATTCTTATTTTCCTTTTTTCCTAGACACGAGTTACCGACCGCTTTAATATTATCCCTGATCTCTACCCATAACTTGTCAATATCCTCGTGGTCCTCGTCAGGAAGCTCTAAAGCTTCAAACCTATTCTTAACATCTAGCTCGAATTGGTTTCTAATTGATGGATTTTTTAATTTTTCCAAATTAAAATTCTCAAAATCGAAACGGTTTTCTTTTCTCTTTTTTATATTAAGTTTTTGTCGAAGTTTCGCGATTACTAATTCATGATCCGACCCACATTCTGCTCCGCGATAAGACCGTACATTGATTATACTGCTTTGCCAGCTGTGTTGTATCAAGACATGATCGATTTGATTTCGTGTTTGCGAATCCGGCGATGTCCAAGTATATTTATGAATATCCTTACGTTTAAACGTCGTACTTTTAATTACCAGGTTTTTCGAGATGGCAAAGTTTATCAGACGGATCCCATTATCATTACTATATTCGTGCAAACTTTCTTTACCAATCGTCTGAATATAAACTTCTTCTCTTCCTACCTTTGCGTTCGCGTCACCTACAATTATTTTCATGTAGTTTCGCGGTAGTTTATCATAAACCCATTCGAGTTTATCGTAAAATTCACTTTTGACTTCATCGTCACTGTCTTCGGTCGGACAATGTATGTTTATTAATGCGAAAATTATTTTACAATGGTCTATTATTTCCAAACAATTATATATCTAAAGTAACATTATGTTCCTAGTAACAAAGAAAAAGAAATAAAAGATGTTTGCTATTATTAGCCTAAATATGTTTCTTTCATCATTAGTAATTTGCTAAAAAAAAAAAAAAAAAAAAAAAAAAAAAAAAAAAAAAAAAAAAAAAAAAAAAAAAAAAAAAAAAAAAAAAAATAGCATTACTTCAGTAACACATTCAAAATTTAAAAACCAAACAAAGGATATGACATTTGAACTATAACATATCAAAAACTGGAGACTATATCTTTGCTCCTAATTGTCCGATTTTAATGATTTTTTTTTTTTAGGAAATTATGTAAAATTTTAAAAAACTGTATACATTATAAACAAAAAAGTGTATACTTTTTGATTTATTCGGAAATCTAATTTTACCACCCCTCGTAACTTTTTTTCCAGCTTCTTTTCGTTGAAATATGTTACATAGATAAATTTAAAGGGCATCGAGAAGTAGACTTTAGCCAAGTTTCATTGAAATCAGTATATTCGTTCAAGCACTACAGTCTATAGCAACACAGATTTTTCGGTTGAAGACTTTTCCTTGAAAGGAAAAGGCGGATCGTAATGTCGATGTAGGCTCCAAATTTTAAAAACAAATCGGTCTGGTAGTTTTGGATAAAATGCGAGGACGGCGGACGGTCAACAAAAATTTATTCGATTTTCGAATTCTACGTATTCTGAAACTTAAAACTTCAAATTTTGAGAGGGGGTTAAGTTTTTGAATTTTTCGGTCGATCACAATGGTTTATTATTGAAAATAAAAAACATAAAACAGTGAAATTAAAACCATTGGAGACAGAGCAAAAAGAAAAAGTGTGATAACTTGCATTAAGGAATAGAACAACCATTTCAACTTTTATCAAAATCTGAGATATAGGATATCAAAAAAAGAAATTTCAGGTTAATATGATTTGAGAAAGACTTATTATTATTATTTAAATAAGAATACATGTTAGGCATGTTTGAAAATTTTCCGTCTGCAGTGTGTTTGCAACAAGTGAATCTATGCAGATTACATATTTATAGGGCATATTACATATGAAATAAGAAAATCTCTAGGCTCCCGCCTCATAAATCATCAGAATGAGATGTATGGGTTTATGGTGGAAACAAGTGCTTGGGTCAATGAGTTTTTGTTGTAAGTCAGTCTCTGGTGGAAGTTCTTATAGTACTCTATCTGAAACTATTTGGATCTCCAAGTCTATGTAGCAAGTCGTTTGCTACATTAAACTTTTTGGAAAGTTTGGGTTTTAAAGATGATAGAGGTTTTTGCAGTGCTCCATAGCTCTTTCTCGTAAGTTAATAAAGGTTTTAATAGTACTTAGTAGATGGTAAATTTGTTAGTTTAGGATAATTTGGAGCGTCTGTCAAGTAACCTGGAAAATATTGACGGTAATCGTCCAAGTACACGGCCCAGTGGAACCCCTGCTATAACATATTTTATGTTGATAATTCATTGCCGTTTTTTACAGTAAAGTGTCTCCGTCAAGTAAGAAAGTAGTATTAAGTCGAAAGAATCAAAATTTTGAGCTTGGAAAGCAATTCTGTATGCCAAACCTTATCAAAAGCTTAACTGGTGTCAAAGAAAACACCAGGACAATAATGTTCTGACTCACTGAAAATGTAATCTAATAATCAATGAAATTGTAGTGTGGTTGAATGATGTTTTTCTTAAAGCCATATTGATGATTTGGAATATATTTCAATAATGTGCCAAGAGAATTGGGCAATGAAGAAGATTTTTTTCGAATAATTTGGAAAAGGAAGAAAGAGGGCTGATAGGGCGATAGGAATTTAGACAATCTAAAGGTTTATTTGTTGGCTTTTAATATCATAAAAACTTCAGAATATTTCCGCACAGTTGGGAAATATATAATTCCAAGAATAGAGTTGAAGTTATTAATTGTAAAGAGGATTGCGATCCATGGTAAGTTATTCAGGATAAAATTTTATAGTAAGTCGTAACCCTTTGTTATTTAGTAAACTGTGAATGAAATTATGTACTTCGTGTATTGCCTTCGGCGGTAGTGTCGTCTGTGGAGCTATGGAGCATTTCTGAGTCATGGTTATATCATTACGACTATCTAATCAACTTATTATGCAAAGGAAATTCAATTTATATTTTAAATAACAGCTTGCATAAAAATACTCTCGAAAAAAAAAATTATTTAAAATTAAAACTATTTATACTAAAATAAATCTCCTGTGCCCTTGAAGAATGTCTACAATGCCGGATTATGGATAATAAAAGTCAATAAACCATTAGATTTTCTAAATATCTATCGTCCTATTAGCCTTATTTCTTCCCTTATACGGTCAATATATTGATGAATATTGGTATTGACTCAATAAAACATCCCTGAGCAGAACACTACCACCTTCCATTACAGCTGACAAATTCTTCTCCTCTAATTCCATTCCTCCTTTCGTTCACACTATCGATATTAAATCTCTTCTCATTCAATAGGTTACATCACACAAGTAACCCTTTCAACCAAGTAGAGGAGTCTTCAGTAGAGGCTGGTTGAGTTTAGGTCGGATCTTACAAAGTATCTCAAATATTTCAGAGCCTATTTTTTATGCCTAATTTTCGATTCTTTTTTTAAATAATCGGAAGGAGAAGGGGATTTAAACCCCTTCCCACCAAACCCCCACAAAAAGTAAACCAAGTTACCAGAAAAAAAAAATATGCCAAGGGGCACCGAAAATTCGGTATCGCCCAGACCTTCTCTAGATCCGTATATATGGTTTAATATTACTCAATATACCCCTTACAGATACAATTATATTGAAACTGTTTCAGTAATATTGAAGGAGCTTCAATAAAAATTTTAAATTGAATCAAAAAAATTGACATCAACTAGTTTGATTGACGTCATTATAATTGATGCCAATGTAGCTCTTACACGGTCAATATATTGAGGAAACTCGATATTGACTTAATAATATTGACCACGTAAGGGGCACTTAAGAGTCTAATATAGACTTACTTTTGCATGTACAGTTATTAATTTTTTTTATGAAACTTTGAATTTTATATATTTTTTCCTTTACTCAAAGTGTTGATGTATCTTTAATATTACTCATATGGATCATTGTTTATTTATCTGAAAGTTGAAGACTAGCCAGAACTTATATATTATATATTATATACATATATTATAGGACTAGTGCCTCTGTATGAATGAGAAATCTCTGATTCCTATAGAAAGTAAAATCTGCATGAGTTTTAGAATAATAAAAAAAATATGCAAAACATTTTCGATTTGGAATTTTTCATATAAAATTAATCTAATTTGAATTCAGAATAATCGATGTAAAATAACAAATTAATTTAAGAATTAGTTTTAGCGGCGTACAAGCGACGGCGCTGCAGTAGGCTGATAAGCTCTATAACCTACCGTAATCTATCTGTCAACTGAAAACCCGGCACTTCTCATTTTACAGGTTTTCTGTTATCATTTCCTTCGTTCCACTGCTATTTAGTTTAGTTTATCAAGTTATTAAACGTTTTTTCTGCCTTGACTAATTAGTGATAAATATTTAACTCTGTTTTCCGTGTATCGATTTTCTTAAATTAGGACGAGAGGTGAACTCCCGCCCTATTTCACTAGACAGTCTCACCTACATCGCTGCGCTATATAAGGCCGCGATTCCTCTCTTATCTGCTCAGTCAGTTGCCGGCTCTTGGTTGTGGTTGACTGGTTATAAAATCATTTAATGATGGAATCAGAAGGCTATCCGTATAAAGTAGTTGATGTTGGACGTGAGAAGAAATTTGGTTTAGTTGCTTGTTCTCTTCATGACTTAGTACATCGAGGTATTTACAGAATTTCATTTTTGTATCATATTTCAAACAAGATGTAAATTTATATTCTATTACAGCTTGTGAGAAGCTCAACTTGTCTGGAAATGTTAAAGTAGTACTAGAACTGGATGGTACTGAAGTGGATGAGGAAGAATATTTCAGTACGCTTGAAAAGAACACAATTCTGATGCTTCTAACCCCAGATCAGAACTGGGCTCCTCCAGGCAGAAAGTAAGTAGTGATTAAAATATTAATATTTTAAAAAAATATTTAAATATTTTCGGAGCAACTCATCTGACAGTTTATTACGTTTAATGCTTGGTGAACAGTTAACGATTTTAAAAGATCATTGCTAACCTCTCATCAGTTCTTTGATTTATAAGGATGTTCCAATAGTAGTTAAATAAAATAATAATTTAGACACCTAGCTTTACATTTTTTTTTTTATTCGTTACATAAACATTGCTTAACTGCTATGTTAATATAATGATACCTTTCCGATACAGTAGAATATCAGTTATCCCTACTACTCCATGATTCCCTAGTCCATACTGTTAACGCAATAATTCATAGTGTAATATTGTAACCAGGGACAAATAACTCAAGATTTAGATGATTAACTAAGTTCATTGTAGATAGATTTAGATGATTAACTAAGTTCATTGTATTCATAGGTGATTAAAATAAGTTCATTGTAATGTCAAAAATTGTAATAAGTTCTACTTGCAAAACTCCTATTTATCTTATTCTTCCTAGAAAAACATTTTCAAGAATGTCAAATGATAACATTGATAAAACAATTACATATTGATCCACCTTATAAATTTAAAAAATCTACACATCACACGGACTTTCACTTACCACCATCTTAGCAGAAATAAGTATTTACAGACAAGAGAGAAGTGAAATTAAAATTATAGATGCTATATTTATTTAAATTTCATTGTGGGTATTTTTATTTGTTTAAATACATTTATATATACAAATTTTAATATTTATATCGCTGTAATCTATACAATTAAATATTAAATAATACCAACGATAGCATTTATGAAAACTGCATATCTATAAGTACATAATATTGTCGCAGTCCGTATTATATTAAGCTCATGTTACGTATTGAAGTCTGTTCTCGCGCTTATATTTCTTTGATTCCTCTATTACAACTATTATCCGTTATGATCTCTTATTTCTCTTTTAGTTAATTATTAAATTATTTTATATTTAACTGTTTTTATATCAAAGACTAATATGAAATGCTTAACTATTTCAAATTAAAAAAATTAAAGGTACTTAAGAGGAAGCTAATATTGAAAATTAGCCATTTAAGCCCTATTAGTGAACATCAATAAGAATAAAGTCTACATTATAATAAAAACTGCTTAATAATACACTGATATACTGAGTTTAATCAAAACTCCGCCGGTTTTTTGAGAAAATTGTAAAGATGTGTTGAATCGATTATATAAAGTACCACTTCTGGTTTGCAGATTTTAACGTTTTATACGACTTTTAGTTTTTGAGCTAGACTGATCACTCACACACATACAGATCATTTTGCGGGACTTGGTTATTTGGACTCGTGACCTAAAAATATATATTTCTGTTGAAAACTCAGGTTCCAAAATTTTCATGATCGCAATATTTACCCTTAGTATATATTGCATATATAGGTAAGAGAAAGTAAAAACCTGTGTTCAGAATCTTTGGGCTCTTTTAAAGCAGATTATAAAAATTAAAAATTATTAATTTTGGTTTATTTATAAACTAAAATATAAGTAGTTTTCTGTACCAATTAACAATTAAATGTTAAATAAAGATTTTAATTTTTTCAAATTCTGATTTATTTATTTTTTTTATCTAAGGAAAATGTTTCAATCAGTATTACCTTTTTTACAAAAAAAAAAAAGTCAATTTTAAATAAGATTACTTTGAATTATTGGCATCCAAATTATTGATGCTTTACTGTATGTTTTTTTTTTTTTAATTTTAAATTATTTGGGTGTGGAATAGCTGAGTGGTCAAAGCTTCAGACGTAGAACTTGTATGTCCAAGTTCAAGGCTAGATGCGTTTACAAACTTTATTTCCTGTCAGTTGTGGATCAACAAACTTCCTGGCCCTTGAATGGGTCGAGGAATAATCTAATACTTGAGCATAATTCAGAACTGGTTACTTCCTTACATAACTCTATTACAAGAAACAGTATATCCTTATCAAGTAATGAACTCAAGACCGTCTGTAGGTTGTACTGGTTCAGAAATGAAAAAGGTTTGTTTAGGAAATGAAAAATGTTTTCCAGTCCTATCATTTCATATTTCGAATTTCTATTTGAAAGTAATGTATTTATTTATTACAAAATAGTTTAATAGGCTTATGTTATATATAATAATTCTTGAAATGGATATTTCTTGGAGTAATTTTTGACCTTCCCATTCTAACCAGAGTAGATTAGCAACACATAGAATAACCTGTCCTTCCGATCCTATTTGGAGTACATTTGTATGTTAAGCTTTAATTTTCATCTTCTACATTTCATTTCATTCTAAACATACATTCTACAGATCATTCTTCTACATTCCTACTGCTATAATTCTTTTATGAACTATGGAAAAATTCACAGTTATTCATTTATGCTATTAGATCATTCTTCTTTTGCATTCCCTCTCCCACATTGGTTTGCGAGTCTATGATAAAATTAATCTAATGCTTTTAGCAGAAAATTTTTATTAGTTTGGACTGTACATATATACTATGCTTGAAAACCAAATTATTTTTCTTCGATATAGGAAATTTGTTGAGCGCTGCTCTACATAGTCTTTTTAATATTTGCTGTCTAAAGAATTTTTTTTTTTTAAATAAATAAATAAAATTATATTTCTAGCTACTGATTTCAGTTTATATTAACATTAATCTTGTAATATGTTTGATAATTGTTAAAATTTATTGGTATATCATATTGTAAATGTGTGGTAAGTCTATAAAACTCTTATTATTTATGAAAAAATTTATATCCTCAAATTTTAATTTTTAAAATTATTATTTCGTTATTAGGAGGCCAGCTGATGAAACTGATGCTAGTGGTAGGGGCTTAGAAGGGCTTCTATCACGTCTTCAAAGTGATATTGGACATGTCTCCTTGTTAGGTGGTTGTGAACTTGAACTTCTTTCCGACATGGATCCTGATTCACTCACAGATATTGTTCCAGATCGGTATTATTTGTTTATATGAGTAATTTTTAACAGTAGTTAATTATATTTCTTTCTTTCTTTTTTTTTTTTTCTTCTAAAGTTTGTACTATCCCACATTTAAAATCTTTCTTAATATCGATCCTATCAGTTCAATATCTTCTTAATAACTTTTAAATAATATTTATGTTATACAACAAATCTATAACTTTGGACTAATACTTCATGACTGCATTCAGTGTGAAAGATCTTGGGTACACTTAATATCTAACAACAAAGGATCTGAACCACAACTCAAAAATTATTGACATTATTTTAAACTAGCATCTTATAATTTCTGAAATATACAGGCTTTGACCTTATCCAACAGATATTAGGATGTCAAACTTACTTATTAATATTATATTACATTTAAAGAAATTAATTATCTAAATGTATTAGGGGGACCGAAAAGTAATGTTTTCTTGCATTACATTCAAACATGAATTTCATACGAGTTTTTTTGTTTTTTAATCATTGATGGAATCTCGCTCATTATCAACAACCTTTTGCCATCTAGTGTGCAAATTTTCAATGTAGGATTGAAAAAAATCAATTGGTTTTTGGGCAAAATATAAGAGATAAGAAATAGCATTTTGGACTTTATTCAAATTTCCAAATCTTTTGCCACTTAGAAAGTGTTGAAACGACCCGAACAAATGGTAATCTGATGGTGCAACATCAGGCAAGTATGGTGGCTGAGGCAGTACCTCCCACTCCAATTCATTAATTTTTTCGAGGGTTCGTCTTACACTGAGGGATCTTGCATTTTTGTGTAGCAGAATAATGCCTTTTCTGTTGACGATCGCTGGAGACTTTTCAATTAAAGATTGATTTACACGATTCAATTACTCCACTTAACACCCACAAGGGCCTTTTTATGGTGTAAACTAGGCTTAGCAGTACTTCATGGCGATTGTTTTGGAGAGAGGCACTGTCTTTTGCGTTTCGGATTATCATACAGGACCCGTTTTTCATCTCCAGTGATCTAGCGATCAAAAAAACTCTATTATATTGTGCTGTTGAACCAATAAGTTGCATATGTTGGTTTCCCAATCTGCTTCAAATATTCTTGGATGATCGACCAAGGTTAGTTAAGACTGTTTGACAATTCCTCAATTGTCTGACACGGATTTGCTTCAACTTCCGCCCTTAATACATCATTATCTAACGTTGGAGGTTTTCCTGATCAATATGAGTTGGAAAGATTAAATAATTTTGAACTTGAAAACCACCTTTGCCATTTATGAACATCTAATGCATTTGGATAAGCATTACAACTGTTTTTTGTTGCAATTGTTGGGTTAAAACTTCAAATGCATGCAATGCCAGTATGTACCTCTTCTGGTATATGGCTGGCCATTGCACCTAAAATTACAAAAAAAAAAAAATAATAATTTAAATATTTGTAACTAAAGAAGTCACTGTAAACTTAAAATATCTTTGTCACAATATAGATGTACACAATGAGCTGCCAAATGACAATCAAATAGTGACATGCTCAGAAACAACATTACTTTCCAATCTCCCTAATATTTCTCTTCTTTTTTTTTTCATTTTATTCCATTTATGATATTGTTTATTAATTTATGTAACTTAAACAAGTACATTTTTCTAAATATCAAAGTGATCTGATTTTTGTTTCTGAGGACTTGGGAAAAAAAAAAAAAGATGGAAATGCCATCGGGAAGTAGGATAAAGCCACTTCGATTCGGTGTACTAACAGGAAACATGAGAATGCCTGGCAATCCTAAAGATGAATCTTATGAAACAATTCATGAGTCTCTTCAATCTCACGTCCAGCCTTGCAGGCAGCCCTCCATACACCAAGCAACCATAGTTAAAGTGTGAAAAATGAGGAAGGTTATAAGGAGCTGTCTGGTGTTTGAGGAATAGAATCACGAAATCTTTGAAGTTATTTAAGGACAGCTATGGGGTTTTGAGTAATCTAGGAGATATGTTTTTTTTAGAAATTCTGATCAAAATATACTCCTAGGTTTTTGGCTGCATTCATCTGCAGCTCATTTATATTTATTTCTGCCCATCCTTTGATACAGTTGATATCCTCTTGTAGCTTTTGAGTAGTCTCAGGCATCTCGGAAGATTGAAACAATTTGTAAATTTGAAAATTTATAGGAAAAAGGTTTGTAAGAATGAAGAACTCCTCGTGTTTATTGAAGGGGTGAGGAATGAGATTTGTTAGGAATGAAAACTGTCTGGGAATAATGGGATAAGAAGCAGCTGAACCATTTTAGAACTCTACTGGATATTATGGGCAAGCTTTGGAATTAGGAAAGGAGGATCTTATGATTGATGGAATGAAAGGCTTTTGAAAAACCAAAAAGGATTAGAATTGAGACTTTCTGTTTATCTATGGAAGATTGGAGTTCTTGGGCTTAGAAGACCGATTGGGAAAAGAAACCACATTGTAAAGGATTGAGGAGACAGTTTTGCACCATCAGACACAAAAAGTTGTTCAACTGAGAGTGGGCGAATCTTTCCAGTGGCTCGGATAAATTGAATGAAATAGAGAAGGGTCTGAAATTGGATGCTGATAAAAGATTAGGAACTTTTTTCATTGAGCAGATGATGACCAGGCTTTGAAGGAAAGGAAATTTCGGAGAGAGAAATTGTATATGTGTAAAAGTGCAGGAAATAAAGCAGGAAGGCAGAGTTTGATTATTTGAACTGGTAATTGGCAAGGTCCATAATCACTGGTAGTACAGCAAGTTTTCTTTTAATTTAAAGGCTTTATTTATTTTTATTAAAAGAATTTTGAAAAGAAATTTATTTTATAACCTAAATAGCCTTGCTGTGTGCACTTAACATACTGGGAATGTTTTTTTCAGAATCTTGATTAATATAATTTAACGATCTCCTTTAGATTCAGATTATGTAGTTACCAGTTGTTCGTAGTTATCCAGCTATGAATAAAATTAACTGATAAAAATTTAAAAACAAGTAGAATTATCACAAGTAATTAAAATATTGTCCTTTGAAATTCGAATATTTATGTTATAAACAGGAAAGAAAGCATAATTAACCTATATTATTATAAATATAATTAAGAACTTGTTTTGATATTGTAAATGATAAATAGATAAATTGCAATTATAAAGAAAAATAACATAGAAAAATTGGTATAAACGGAAACCTAGTATATAGTTCTGTCACATTTTGGTAGAAGATGTGATAGTCTTATTAATCCCTTTACTGTGGGAAATAAGAGAGGTGCATGAATTTAACAAGAGCAAAGAAACTGTTGACCATTGTCTGAGAATTCATTTTTCCTAGGCGGGAACTACCGATGTACCTACTGTAGTAATCTCCAAGAGTTACAAACATCCTTATAAAATTAGACTGAAACTCTAGTGCTCTCATATATTATGGTCATAATTTTTGGCGCTACAATCCATGTGGAGTTAAGGCCTCATGTAACATCAGTCATCAGTCATTTTTGTTTTGAGCAGTCAATTTCCAGTCCCTAATACAAAAGATAGATCTTGCATCAGTGGCCACATCATCTGCCCAATCTAGTTTGGGTCTTCTTTCCAATGAAGAGCTTCTTCTGAATGTATCAGCTATCAGGTATCTTAATCACACGGTTTGCCCAGCGGAGTCAACCAATCTTAATAAATCTAACCATTATCCTGGAACGGCTGCTGCAGTTCTTAGTTATATGCCTCCACTCTTGGCTAACACAGATTGGGCCAAATATTCTGCAAAGGAACCGGTGTTCATATCTTAGTAAGACCTGCACAATGGTTCTTGATATAGTCATGCACTTAAACGGACAGTTAATTTTTATTTCAATTTTTAATATGACATTGAAATAATAGTGTTACAGATTTAGACCATTATATTTTTCTCAAGATTATATAGAAGTTTTATTTTTCTGTTTTCAGTGTATTTTTAGATCAAATTAAGGAAGCATCAGGCCGTATTTTATCAGACAAAAGACAGGCACAAGAAGCTATGGATCTCTTGAAATTATATCACAATGCACAAACAATCAAAGAAGGAAAGAAAAGTACTTTGGCTCAGTAAAAGTTTGTAAGTTATTTTAGATATTGTAGCTTCTGTATTAGGGTCAATATTCACAAACAGCCAATTTTAGTTTAGTTATTTTAACAATTTTCACCATAATAAATAAAGTGAAAATGCATGCTTAAATGTCATATTTTTGAGTGATTTTTTTAAAAAATTTATGTTAGATGTCTACAAACTGGTAAAAGTCAGGTGATTTTTAGTAATTAGGAATTGTTATCAAAATTATCAGAAAGTCGAGTAATTTTCTGAAAATGTATTGCTAACAAAATTAATAATAAAATAAGAGTTACTAAATAAAAGGAAAATACCTAATACTATTTTAAAAAGTAGATAGTTTTACAAGTTTTTTTTCTTTTATTTTTATAATTAGCCCTCAAGAGCAATTACATTTTGAATCCACCAACAAATTGTACTATGATTTCTGACTACCATTTATGCCATAACTCTCAATTAACGAATTGTATAATTAGAAACATTAAATCATAGTTGTATGCTACAAAACTTTTGCCTACTCCAGGTGACTACCAGTGATATTGGCTAAAATAAAAATTTTACTGATATTTGCTTTTTAACTTCCAATATGTACAAAGAACGTGAATTTAAACTATAATAATGTTTTTTGGGGTAGTTTTGTTTTCTCAGAATTTATTCCCACATATATTATTACAGTAAGGCTCGAAATCGGTTTTGTACCAAATATAAGCTCTTATGCTCAAATACCATGAATGGGGTACCGTTGGATTCAGAATTTCATGGGGGTTTAGCGAATCGTATTATCCACTTTTGTTTTTCTTTCTAAAATAAATAATGTCCATACAAACGATCATAGATACATTGAATTAGGAGAAAATCCTGAGGTGTTATGAATCATATACTGAATAGCAGAGGGAAAAATTAAATAGAAAGTCAAACCGCGTATCTATGACAACGCAGTCAACAAAATATTGCTATCTCTAACCCTATTATTACATCTCCACATATATTATTACAGTAAGGCTCCAAATCAGTTTTGTACCAAATATAAGCTCCTGTCATGCTCAAATACCATGAATTGAGTACCGTTGGATTCAGAATTTCATGGGGAGTTAGCGAATCGTATTATCCACTTTTGTTTTTCTTTCTACAATAAATAAAGTCCATACAAACATTTTGCTGGACTTCAATACTAGAACAGTGGTAGGCCTGTAGATCGATACAGGACAAATTGTATCTTGAAGATTTTGATGCGTACAGGAAGACCCGAATAGTTCCTCCAGAACTATCAGATCCTGCATTTTTAAGCCCAGAAACGTACTATTTTCGAGATAACACAAGGCATAGGGTTCGCATCCACACAACCTTACGTTAATTGTAGTACTGTCACTGAATATATGTCTCATTTTCTTCGATTTGAGGCCTCTATGATCGAGAGAGGAGAAATTTATATTATTTATCAATGGTGTTTTTGATCAGTAAGCCATATCATTGTTAATTCTTCACCAAATCTCAAGATTGAGCCACGAATTTGAAAGGCTTCCTTTTCCTTCAGGTGGCCAATAGTCCAATCACCCTGAAAATTCAGGCAAACAAGTTATGAAAGAAAGCAAACTTTGTTTGCGAATAACTAAAAAATTACAAACTTTTCCCTTGGTTATGTCCATGATTATATAAAATTTACTAAATTCCCTACAAAAGGAAAAAAAATCATCGAAATCGGACAATTTTTATCAAAGATATAGATTATTGAAATTTATAAACACTTTGGTTCCAAACATTAATGAAGATTTAAGTTAATTTTTGTTTCCTTTGTTGATTATGTTTATCGATAATGTAACAATTGATTTCTTTATCTTTTGATACGTTGCATTATTTTATATGCTTATTAATTTGGCATTTGATAGCAATATGCTGTGCAAATTTTTCGCACAGGCCTACTAGTTATAAATATTACATGTGTGTCAATCCAATTTATGGTGTCCAATCTTTTCACTGAGTAGATTTACTCCCTTTCAGCCACTCCCTTCTTCTTCCAGTAAAATAAGAATTAGTCCAGGATATTGATGTTTTTTAACACTCAAAATGAAAAATGAATGTTATTTGCCATTCTTGTCTATTATTTGGACCATAATCAAGTTCAGTTTGACTTATAATTTTCATTATTCAGTCTTTGTGATAACCAATATATTAACAAATATTTTTGAACATTTTGTTCAATTCTAAGAACGGACTCTTTTAGACACCTTGTTAATACTTTTGATAAAATTTATATAATAGAGATGAGAAAATCATTTTTTATTACTTTCCTTTATAAACTAAAAAATGCCTTATAAATACATATCAATTTATCTATTCATAATTTCTGATAAGTAAAAGGTAATTCTTTTAATTTTTAATAGGAAATCAACTATATTTTATTTAGATTATTCAACATTATTTTAATAAAATGTTCCAAATTTTAACTACAAGGAAAATCTAATATTAAATCTATGTTGTAAATTTCTGACCACTCTAACACCATATTCATTCTTCCGAGTGCAAATTGAGACACAGAAACTGTGTTTCAATGGCGCCCGAGCTTAAAAGTATGAAACCTCTAAGACATATGTATATATTATATATTTGCTGTGGATGGTAACATTATGGTATGCTCATTAAACCTTTGATTGCGGGAGCTCATTCACGATTTTCTACTATATGTTGCATCCTGAAATCTACAAAGGCGTCCTAACAAATATTTTTTTTTTGCATAAATTTGTTTAAAATGCTATTTTGAGTTACTCTGCAACTTCTTAGCTTTCAAAAATGCATTTTAACGTTTTTATTCAACATTAAAAAAAAAATGGATATACGCCTTCCCAGCCGCTCGTAGCAATGCAAAATTAGAGCGGCAATCCTGCAACACTTCGCTTTGCTCATTTCTGAAAAGCAAAATAACTTAAAATTAACACAAGTGATCATACTGTAAGTCATCATAACAATAACTGTAAGTGATCATAAAAATTAAATTATAAACTGTTCAAGATATTAAAATTATAAGTACACCATTGTAAAGTAGACAATTTTTTTTTTTAGAAATCAGTGATAAATTTACTATGGTCAATGCTAAAAGGAACTTTCAGAAGGTTTAATACGGCCTCTGTACAGAGATATGCTGCTCGTGTAAGGGTACTATGACTGCAGTCATATTAGACCTTCTGAAAGTTCCTTTTAGCATTGGCATTAGTAAATGTAATCACTGATTTCTCAAAAAAAAGTTGTCTACTTTACGATGGTGTACTTGTTCAATGAAAATGTGATTACACAAAATTAGTCTTACCACCTAAAAAATCTGTAAACATAGGATGGAAAATGGAATATGAGAACAATTCTAGCCCAAGCGTTGGTAGAGGAATATATATACCTAGGGACAGTTGTTGGAAGAAATTTAAATTAGACCAAGAGGTATCAAGCAAATGGCATATATTGCCAGATCTGTAACATGGTCGTAGGAAAACGAGATGTGCAAAATATAACTAATATGCATATATACAACACACTCTACTTTCCAACCCTACTGTACAGTAGTGAGAGCTGGATCCTTCTAAATAGGCACAAAGGTAGACTTACCTCTGCCGAAGTGAAATATCTGAAAAGAGTAGCTGGCCAAACTAGAAGAGATTGCATCTGAAACAAACGGATTAGAGAAAATGTTATGGTGCCACCAATGCTGGAAACCGTGGAAAAGAAATTCTAAAATACCTATTTTAGCCTTAAGGCAAGACCCACAGAAAAGAGGCCAAGAGGACGTCCACGGAAAACTTGGATTGACAAAATAACCAACCTAGGACAGAGAAGAGGCGAGCAGTTGGGTTATATGAGGAACCTGGCAAGGGACCGTGATGACTGGCATAAATGGGTCGAGGCCCCTTCACACTGAAAGGCACTAAGGAGGAAGACAAAGAAGAAGGTCTTACTACCTTTTCTGTTCGGAATCATTCCCCAGAGTTTGGCCGTTAATCCTTTGACTGCAGGAGCTTATTCACAAGTGTCTACTACACGTTGCATCCTGAAATCCACAAAGACGTCTATACAAAAACAGATTATTTTTTTTTTCCATAAATTTGTTTGAAGTGCTATTTTGAGTCACTGTGCAAGATCTTAGCTTTCAAAAATGCACTTTAACGTTTTTATTCAACTTTTAAAAAATGGGATGTATGCCTTCCCGACCACACATAGCAATGCACAGTTAGAGTGGCGATCCCGCAACACTTCGCTTTCTTGTGTATTTGCTCATTTCTAATAAGCAAAATCACTGAAAATGATGATAAAAATATCTTTAAGTGATCGTAAAAATAAAATTATATTATTTCTAAAAAAAGGACACCAACGGGGGGATTCAAATTATATATTTCTTTGTATTTATAATTTTTTTTCTTACTTAAAATGTTCCACATTGAAAATAGCGCAGTTATACATTTTATGATTGCACTTATATTTATTTTGAGTCTCTAACACTGGAGCCACGGTGGTCGACCAAGTTAAGGCACCTATAAAAATTTTAAGCCACTAGTTCAAATCCGGATTTGTAAAAAAAAAAAAAAAATTAAAAATAATTAATAATAAATTAAAATAAATAAGTGCAGTCCCTACTCGACTGGTTAGATCACAACGGCGATTCTCTATAACTATAAAAAAAAAAAAGTCATACTGTACCTTTTTGAAAATTAAGAAATAGTTTTGCCTTAGAATGTCAAGAATAGCTTTGAAATTTTTCAGAATAATTCAAACAAGTTAGGAGTACGTTTGATATATAATATTAAAGTCAGTAAATTCGTTTGCCTTGAAATTAAGATGTATAAAAAGAACTAACAAATTCATGCAGATTACCTTAGCATAAGCAAAACATAGAAAAAGAAAAATTTAGGCTGACCTGCTAGACAGTTTAAGTAATTTTAAAAACTTTTAAATAGGATTTAGAGTTATGAAAACAAATGACCATAAAACTGAACCGTTAATAAGAGTCCAAAAAGTCAAAATAG